ACAGTGACTGTACACACGTACAGTGTACAGTAACTGTAGACACGTACAGTGTACAGTAACTGTAGACACGTACAGTGTACAGTAACTGTAGACACGTACAGTGTACAGTAACTGTAGACACGTACAGTGTACAGTAACTGTAGACACGTACAGTGTACAGTAACTGTAGACACGTACAGTGTACAGTAACTGTAGACACGTACAGTGTACAGTAACTGTAGACACGTACAGTGTACAGTAACTGTACACACGTACAGTGCACAGTAACTGTACACACGTACAGTGCACAGTAACTGTACATACGTACAGTGCACAGTAACAGATGTGTATAAGAGACAGGGTGTACGTTGTGTGGTATCATGTATGAAAATAGTTCATCACAAACTGTGTAAGTAACTGCACACCACACATGGAGATGATGCGGTGATGCCCTATACGAAGCAATTTATTATCTACAACTAAAACTGTATATAAAATGCAAAATCTTCAACATGAATGGCAATTAAACTTTGTTTTCAAGACCGTCTCACCTTTAACCAGTAAATTAGTAGTGGTTTATCTGCCACTAACTCGGCCGTTAGAATATAATAACACCGAAAATTAGTAACGGTTAACTTGCCACTAGCTCCACCACTACATTATATTAACCCTGCAAATTAGTGACGGTTAACTTGCCACTAGCCAGGCCGTTAAATTACCTGCCAAACCCCCTCCCCTCCTTCCCCCCTTCACTAGTTCTAATATTACATCAAAAAACCTGCACTGCATTACCCTGCAAACCGACGAATTAAATTACCCTAGAGTGAATAGCAACAATAAAAACTACCCTAAGACCAACAATAAAACTACCCTAATATGGACAACTCGTCATATGGACCAAAGTATCCATGAGAAGCGTGCAAACACTCCCCTATGGCGCGTCAAATGCACACAAAAGGCCTTTGTTGTTGTTATGCCAACAACATCATTGGCGTTTTGTGGCGTTTTGATACATGCCGACGCCACATGCCATTCAAAGCCAGACGTGTAATACGCCTTCTTAATAAGCCATGAATCAACCGGTGCCCGGTTACAGCCGAGGGGAGTTTTCATAATGCTATTCCTACCAGAGTTGTGGGTTAACCCTTTACTGCCATGCCGGCACACGCGTCCTCTTATTCATAATGCTATTCCTACCAGAGTTGTGGGTTAACCCTTTACTGCCATGCCGGCACACGCGTCTCTAAAAATAAATATAAATATCAATATAAGAGATCGTCCACAACTTTTCTTGTATTTTCACTGAAAACCTTCCAGTAACAAATTCTTCAATTTTCAAAAAACTTCAAGAAAACAAGAGTAAGAAACTCATAAAATGAATAAGCGTTATTTAACCTTACCTAGTGCTACCTTACCTTACCTAATGCCGTATTATTGTTATTTTTTTCCATGCGCCCACAATATTCCCATCATATTCGTAATAAATTACTGTCATATTCCAACCATATTCCTACCATATTCCTACCATATTCCCACCATATTCCCATCATATTATCATCATATTCCCATCATATTCCTATCATATTCTCAACATGTTCTCAGCATATTCCCACCATATTCCCACTATATTTTCATCATGATCCCACTATATTCCCACCATGATCCCCCCATTTACCCACTATATTCCCACCATATTCCCACCATATTCCCACCATATTCCCACCATATTCCCACCATATTCCCACCATATTCCTACCATATTCCCACCCAGCACTCTGCTGCCATGATCAACTACTCACGCTAATGAGGTGCTGTACAATTTGCTCCTGGGTGCTCATGCCACAGGTACAATTTTGTTCATGGCTGCCCATACAATAGCATTAATTTGTTCGCCTCGCCTTAGAATGCAGAAGCGCATTCCACGCATGCGCAGAAGCTGCCATTTCTCCTGAAGAATGGCAGGAACGTTTTATCTATTGAGTCTAAAAAACTCTCGCTAGTCGGAATTTTGGTCGGTATATCGGTGGCCGGCTATCAGGGGGAGGTAATCTTAACCATTAATTTAATATGTGAATAATCTTCGCACTATTTTACAGGGTTTAGATTTAGCAACGGTTTCGGCGACAAGGGAATGAATGAACGCAATATATATCCACCCTACAGTGATGATTATCGATGGACTAGGGTCGGCCAACCAGCACCTGAAACCGATTTTTCTTACATGCGGCCAACCTCAACACTCCTCTGAGTGTCTCCACCATCTGGCTACCGATAACACCCCTATGTGTTTCCTTACCATCTGGCCACCCATAACACGCCTTTGCATCCCCCCAACCCCCCAGGTCCCCCTCCCCGAACCTCCCTATAATAAATCCGTATCTTGAATCGAGGCGGGCATTCCAGCTGTGCGTTATCAGCGACATCGCAGAGGCCGGTATGTCGGCTAAGGTTTATTTGGGTGCCCCCTCAAACGCGCCAAAATCTTATATTTTCTACGAGACGTTTTTTTCGTTTACTTTCGTTCGGTGATTTTTTTCGTCGTGTTCCGAATGAGAATTTCCCGAGCTGTGGTTTTGTGTGGTCAGCGGCAAGTGAGATTCGCTACTGAATTGATTAAGGAAGCATTAAGGGTTATGTTTAGGGTTAAATTTGTACAAATGCGTGGCATACCAGTAGCATGTCATGCCACCTGTGGCATGTCGTGCATCCAGAACGCGTTTCTAAACCCATGGCCCATGCAAACTCACATTAGCTCCATAACGTGATCTGTTGAAGGGTGGATTCTTAGTTGAACTCCAAGGGTTGAATCTTGGGTGATGATGTAACGAAGTCAAGCCTGCCGCTTCACATCATCACTCCCGCAGCCCATCATTATCATTCTCTCCTTCTCTTCACCCTAACCCCATTCCCGCCACCTTCACTCCCCTCCTCCTCTCCCTAGGTATCCTTTCCCCCTCTCTCCCTATCCCTTTCCCCCACCTTCACTCTCCCCACCGTCACTCCCCCGCTCTCCCTATCCCTTTCCCCCTCCACCTTCACTCCCTCTTCTCCCTAACCCTTCCCCCACTCATCACCACTCCCCATGTCCTCCTTCATTTCAATTTGCCCGCTCTTGTGTTCAGCCTTTTGATCTGCCAGCAATTACGCCCACTCGCAGCCCACCATTTCTGCTCCCTAATCCCACTCTCAGCTTCGTAAAAAATCAAAATTCCTGAAACTTTAACCAAATATTCTCAACTTTCTAAACCATTTTTAAAGCTTATGCAAGCAATAACTTTTCACTAATTTAACAAAGTACATCGGTCTACTGATCTTATATTTCTACTGCCAAAGCCTTTAATGTTTGCTNTGCTCGTCCTACTTGATGCTCGTCCTACTTGATGCTCGTCCTACTTGATGCTCGTCCTACTTGATGCTCGTCCTATTTGATGCTCGTCCTACTTGATGCTCGTCCTACTTGATGCTCGTCCTATTTGATGCACGTCCTACTCGTCATATGTAGATCAGGCTCAAATCGAGACTAAGGCGCGAGTCGTTTTGACTTAGACGCTAGCTGACACCCAGGCGCAAGTCGACACTAGCTGAGGCGTGAGTCGTCACCGTCAGTCGTGGTGACTCAGGCGCAAGTCGTGACACTCAGGCGCAAGTCGTGACTCAGGCGCAAGTCGTGGTACAGGCGCTAGCTGAAACTCAGGCGCAAGTTCGGACTCAGGCGCAAGTCGTGACTCGGGCGTGAATCGTTGCGACTCAGGCGTGAGTCAGCTGATGACTTCTGCAGCTCTCCCATAGCCTGCACTCATCCTAAACAGTCAAGGTCGGCCTACAGCTCCCGTTGCTGCAATTAGTATTCTACATGTGTCCTACTTGGGTTCCGTTTCTTACTTGTATCTCCTATTTGGTTTTACTGCATCATACGTCATTCTTCTGCGCGAGTTATGTTATGTTTGCTCCTGCGTTTTGATTTTTTTGCATATATCTTATGTGCGTTCAGGATTTTTGACGCACGTCTTGTGTATGTATGATACGTGCGTCCTGTGTATACTAAATGTGCCTTGTGTTTATTTTACTATCAGGCCCTTTGTTGCCCTGATCAATCCATCGCTGCGCCGATCTGCTCCATTGCTGCGCCGATTTGTCCCAATTTAGCCCCGATCTACCCCGCTGCTGCGCCGATCTGCTCCATCACTGCGGTAATCAGCCCCATCACTGCGCTGACCTGCCCCATCGCTGCGCTGACCTGCCCCATCGTTGCGCTGACCTGCTCCATCGCTGCTCTGACCTGCCCCATCGCTGCGCTGACCTGCCCCATCGCTGCGCTGACCTGCCCCATTACTGCGATGATCTACCTCAATTCTGCACTGATCTGCCTCGCGGCCACGCAATCTCTGAGCTGTCACCACCACTCGATGCCTTAATTGGCGATGTTTTTAGTGACGACAAATTGCTTGTCACTCAAACATGCATCTTCATGTCTGTTAGAGTACTGGCAGGGGATTGGCTTGCGGATTGGCTCAATGATTCACTGAATTATTGGCAGCTCTCATCAAATGAGCACTGGTTCGCCGCAGGTTATTTAAATAGCTCGCCAATTAAGATGAACGTCCGCGCAACCTGCGGTCGGATATGCCGATCGCCTCCCCCTGATGCGAACTGATGCAATCCCTTCCCCAGACTCGAACTCATATGCAATCCGTTCCCCAGACTCGAACTGATTGGCCTGATAAGCAATCCCTTCCCCAGACTCGAACTGATTGGCCTGATAAGCAATCCCTTCCCCAGACTCTAACTGATTGGCCTGATAAGCAATCCCTCCCCAGACTCTAACTCATAAGCAATCCCTCCCCCAGACTCGAACTGATAAGCATTCCCTTCCCCAGACATGAACTGATAAGCAATTCCTTCCCCAGACTCGAACTGATAAGCAATTCCTTCCCCAGACTCGAACTGATAAGCAATCCTTTCCCCGAACACGTATTGATAAGCCATCCCTTCTCCATATACGAACTGACGAGCAATCCTTTCCGCAGAGTACTGATAAACGTCGTCTTCGAAGGATTACAATGTAATAAATCCGTAAGAAGGCGCACCATCATATTTATCATTGCACCCTTTATATTATTTCTTTATTAATAAGGAATTAGTCCAACCACTCGCAAGGCTAAAAGCTTCTTTCCCTCCAGATATTTGATGTTAAAAGAACGTTGAATTAACGTTAGAACAACGTTTAATTAACGTTGAAACAACGTTATTCGCTTGTTGACGATTTATTACCAATTATGACCNGAACGCTCCTCAATATATCACGTCTGAATCATCGGTGGCCAAGACCACCTTCCCACCTCCGTAACACCATTACGGGTGTAACGCGCTTACAGGGGCGCAGCGTTGCACTGAATACATAACGCTAACCGCGTTACGCTGCAACACCTGGTGTTACGCAGCCCGCCTCCACTCGCAGAAATCAATGATATTTTGTCCGAATATCAATACACTTTTTACAGTAATACGGGTCATTCTGACCTAGATTTGCTCGGTATTAGGGAGTATCAGTGCTACGTCAAATTCGGGCAATTTGACATTCCATTTTTTGAGTGAATGAATGGCCGGCAATTGTTTTGATAAAGGAGGCCTAGACTCATTAGCATGAGTCAACTCATTAGTGAGTCAACTCATTAATATGAATGAGTTCAAATACAATCATTAGTATGAATGAGTTCAAATACAAGTAAAAAAGATATATTGACCGTTTTATGATAATATATCACTATTAACTACTGAATAATTCATAAACGTGTTCATCCATTTTTCGCCAGTTTCTCAATTTGTAATTTAATTAAATGTCTCCCTTATTTTCACTATTTTGTTGAGTGCCTCTATTATTTATTTAATTAAAAGCCTCCATTACTTTCATTATTCAATTAAATGCTCAATTATTTCCATTATTAAATTGAATTCCTCAATTATTTCCATTATAACATTTAATACATAAATTATTACCATTATTTAATTCTATGCCTCCATTACTCAATTGAATACCTCCATTATTTCCATTATTTAATTGACTCAATGCATGTTCTACTTGATGCTCGTCCTACTTGATGCATGTCTCACTCGTCATATATTGATCAGGCTTGAGTCGCGACTCGGTCGCGAGTCGTGGTGACTCAGGCTCAAGTTGTGGTGATTCAGGCGCGAGTCGTGGTGACTCAGGCGGTAGCTGAAACTCAGGCGCAAGTTGTGACTCGGGCGTGAATCGTTGCGACTCAGGCGTGAGTCAGCTGATGACTTCTGCAGCTCTCCCATAGCCTGCACTCATCCTAANCAATCCCTTCCCCAGACTCGAACTGATTGGGCCTGATAATTAATCCCTTCCCCAGACTCGAACTCATATGCAATCCGTTCCCCAGACTCGAACTGATTGGCCTGATAAGCAATCCCTTCCCCAGACTCGAACTGATTGGCCTGATAAGCAATCCCTTCCCCAGACTCTAACTGATTGGCCTGATAAGCAATCCCTCCCCAGACTCTAACTCATAAGCAATCCCTCCCCCAGACTCGAACTGATAAGCATTCCCTTCCCCAGACATGAACTGATAAGCAATTCCTTCCCCAGACTCGAACTGATAAGCAATTCCTTCCCCAGACTCGAACTGATAAGCAATCCTTTCCCCGAACACGTATTGATAAGCCATCCCTTCTCCATATACGAACTGACGAGCAATCCTTTCCGCAGAGTACTGATAAACGTCGTCTTCGAAGGATTACAATGTAATAAATCCGTAAGAAGGCGCACCATCATATTTATCATTGCACCCTTTATATTATTTCTTTATTAATAAGGAATTAGTCCAACCACTCGCAAGGCTAAAAGCTTCTTTCCCTCCAGATATTTGATGTTAAAAGAACGTTGAATTAACGTTAGAACAACGTTTAATTAACGTTGAAACAACGTTATTCGCTTGTTGACGATTTATTACCAATTATGACCGAGTTAGAAGCGGCCAATATTTGAATCCACGTTTCTTCCACAAAAAAAAGTTAACCTTCGGCCGCCATTTCCAATTTGGCCGCCCTTAATGAAGCTCTACATTTCTAAGGTCGTTTTATCGGCGGCCAAAGCGTAATTGGCTGTGATTTGCCAACTGGGGCGATAGCAACGAGCGCAGTTGGCGGTGGCCAATTAAATCAGCGAATTGGCGGACCCAATTTGTAGAATTTTTATTGGCTCAGGAGTGGTGCTAATTTTGCGAGGGTAAAGTAAGAAGAGTAATACAGTGAGGGTAAAATACGAGGGTGAATGATGGGATACAGAAACGAAGGGATAGCAGTGAGGGTAAAGTAGAGGGTAAAATTACGAGGGTAATGCGTTAAGGGCAAATACGAGGGTAAATATAACGGGAATAATTACAAAACTGATGTACAGGACCAGGGTAAATGTTAGGGGTTCTGAATGTGGAAAGTCTGCATAAAATTGAAACAAGAAGCTGAAAATTTAATTTTAGATTTTAACGTATGCTTTTGACAATAATTGCACATTAGAAGCGCGTGACAATTGGGCTGGCCACTCATATACCGCCCTTACACTCAGAAAAATGTTGTCTGAATAATGATACACATAATGCCCTTGTGTGGGTCAGCCTGACCCACTTAGGTCCATTAAAAGGGAGCATCCGTGCTACGTGCACAATGTGTGTCAACAACATACGCTATGAACCATGAAACTCATTTATTTGTCTGAGTGTAGCCCTCGTTGCCATGGTAACGATGCTTATGAAAAATGTCGCCGACCCTCGGCAATTAGGACGACCTGCCCTCGTGACAACCGAGGGTTCTGCCCTCGTTGGGTTCACCTTAAATCCCTTAGTTTAAAATTTTTAAAAACAATTTACCAATTTCGGGGATAGTTCTTCTAACCTGATAGCCTGAATCTTGGGTTTATATTTTGATAATTTCAAATTACGTCTGAATCATCGGCGTTTTATTGGCGGCCATGAACATTCATCAATATATCACGTCTGAATCGTCGGTGTTTTATTAATGGGACCATCAGCATCCGACAAATGGGACCATCAGCAACCGACGAATGGGACCATCAGCGTCCGACAAATGGGACCAGCAGCAACCGACGAATGGGACCAGCAGCAACCGACAAATGGGATCATCAGCAACCGAAAAATGGGACCATCAGCATCTGATAAATGGGACCATCAGCAACCGACGAATGGGACCATCAGCATCCGACAAATGGGACCAGCAGCAACCGACGAATGGTACCATCAGCAAACGACAAATGGGACCATCAGCAACCGACAGATATGGTCTCTCAGCATCAGATAAATATGGTTCATTAGCACCCGTCAAATAAGATCCATCAGTACCCGACAAATGGGGACCATCAGCACCCGACAAACGTGGTCAATCAGCACCCGACATACTGCATATGGTCCATCAGCACCCGACATACTGCATATGGTCCATCAGAACCCAAGAAATATAGACCATCAGCACCTGTCAAATGTGGTCCATCAGAACCCGATAAATGTGACCATCAGCACCCGAAAAATATGGTCCATCAGCACCGACAAATATGGTCCATCGTCACCCGCCGAATATGGTTCGTCAGCATCCGTAATTTGAGACCATCAGCACCCGACAGATATGATCCGTCAGTGCACAACAAATATGGTCCATCAGCATCCAAAGAACGTGGTCCATCAGCAACCGACAAATATGATTCATCAGTACCCGAAAAATTGAGATCCATCAGAACTCGACAAACATGGTCCATCAGCACCCGACAAACATGGTCCATCAGCACCCGACATACATGGTCCATCAGCACCCGACATAAATGATCCATCAGCACCCGACAAAAATGGTCCATCAGCACTCGACAAATATGGCTAGTCAGCACCCGACAAATGAGGACCTTCAGCCCCCGACCAATTGAGGTCAATCAGAACCCTACAAATGATGTCCATCTTCACCAATAACCCGCCGATAAATTCAATTTTACCGTCAACGTCATTAGTGGAAAATCGGTGGCCAGCCATAATTAAGCTGTTGTTTATGGTCGTCTTAGCGGCGGCCAACCATCGATCAATGATATCTTTATGAAAAAATTCCCTTGAATGAAAATGTATGATTTTTCCAACACATACGCTGACGATGCGCCACTTGCCCGACGATGCGCCACTTGCCCGACGATGCGCCACTTGCCCGACGAGGCTCATGATGTTGTCGGCGGCAAACGACGATAAATTGCTGCCTGTATACCTGTCGCCTGTATACCTGTCGCCTGTATACCTGTCGCCTGTATACCTGTCGCTTGTATACCTACCTGTATACCTGCAGCCAGTGGACCTGCCTGTATTGGCTGTGTAGCCCTAACCAGATTTACACCATTACGCGCCACAATATACAAAGGTGATTCATCCATTGTGCGGCCACACAAAGAAATACAGCAGACGCTGTTTGGCAAACACCTTTTATTCCACCTCAAACTGCCTCTGTGTGCCCATTGTGTAATTATAGCCGCCGGCCGGCGCGGGGTGAGGCTCTAATTATCAATAGGGGAGCCTGATTAATCGTAGTCTATTGACATCAACAAAAACAACCTACGTCGTTTGGGCCGTCAGTTGTTTGCTTGATTCTGGGGAATTCGTAGGAAACGTTGTTGGAAATCCGTTGTTGCGGTGGATTCCGTGTAGCTTTGAACTAAGAAGCTCATGGAGAAATCGGGGTAAATTAATGTGTGCCGGATGGGACTATCAGCAGCAGACAAATGGGATCATCAAATTCCGACAAATGGGACCATCAGCATCAGACAAATGGGACCATCGAATTCCGACACATGGGATCATCAGCAACCGACAAATGGGACCATCAGTATCCGACAAATGGGACCATCAGCATCTGATAAATGGGACCATCGAATTCCGACACATGGGATCATCAGCAACCGACAAATGGGACCAGCAGCACTC